TATGCATATATCTATCTATCTATATATTTATATATATATATATATATATATATATATATATATGTGTATGTGCGTGAGTATTTTCAATAGAAAAATACTGGTGGTAAAAAGTTCTGCTCATTGTTTGTTGAAAAGGAAAGTGAATTATTTATTACGAATTGTTAGAACCGGAACAACCTTTAACTGCATCACGATATATTTTACAATTGACGAGTTGAACTTTTTCTCGCCAAAAATATCAGTTGGTGATTTGGCTGTATAACAATGCCACTCCTCAAGTTGAAAATTCGACTTAGGAATCTAATAGTGTGATTGAATGAAACGTCCTGGCACATGATCCGTATTCTTCAGACCTTTCATATGAAGACTATCACGGTTGTCACTAGTTTCGTAACACTCCTTAACGGGTGAGAAATGCCAACAAAGATACGAAACATTTCTGCGAAGAATTTATCGAATAAAATCTGTTAGTGTTCTTCTACAATTAAAAATAATTCTTTTTTAAAGGCGATATGATTTAGGTCTTATTTAATCTTGGAAAATCCTTCAATTTCCATGAGATAAAGATTTGACATTTTTTCTCTCTCTCTCTAACACACTGCGTACACACATATGTGTGTCGTAGCTGACATTTTAGTCCCGCTAGTGGCCTTCATACAAGTCCACATATCTCAGGGCATAACCACAGGAATATTTGCTGATTATTTTCGCCGTTGTCTTTAGTCTCTTAGCCGGTAAATACGACTCATTTCAAAATTTCTGATACCATTCAAGCACAAATATCTCCAATATATATATATATATATATATATATATATATATATATATATATATATATAGAGAGAGAGAGAGAGAGAGAGATAGATAGATAGATAGATAGATAGATATGATCCAATATATATCAATATATATATATATATATATATATATATATATATATTCAGATACGATACACATATGTGTGTGCGTGTGTGTATGTGCAGTGTGTTAGAGAGAGAGAAAAAACATTTCAAATCTTGACCTCATGGAAATTGAAGACACAAATATCTCCAGTATATATATATAGATAGATAGATAGATAGATAGATAGATATGATCCCGACTACGGTTCAATATATATATATATATATATATATATATTCAGATACGATACACATATGTGTGTGCAGTGTGTTAGAGAGAGAGAAAAATCATTTCAAATCTCTAGCTTATGGAAATTGAAGACACAAATATCTCCAGTTTTTTTATATCATGTCTGCCTGCTCTCGATATGAATATCCTGTCATTGTTAAACGGAACGTTTCACAGTTAACTCTCTACTACACATGTTAAACGTTAAAGACAGACAGTCCTCAAATGTACACGAATTACAAATGTAACCTAGACTAATGGCAACACAGCTCTATCTACCGCAAACTTTCTTACAACTTAACAAATCGAAGAATTTGCGGAGATATATTTATTTTGGCGCGAGGGACTCGGCCCCAAAGTTTGTAAAAGTATTTTAGATTCACCCTTATTAACCCTTTGCCTGTCCTGGGCATTTTCGTGAGTACTATCAAAACGTTCCTACTTTTTTTCAGATTTATAACTAATGCAAGGAAACTGAGCTTATTTGTCAAATAGAATGGCCTGATATATAGCGTTTCACATAATAAACACTTACAAATCATAAGTTATTTTCACCAGGCTCTGTGCATCACATGTGAAGCACAGGTTTTTATTATGTGAAACACTATATATCAGCACATTCTATTAGCCAAATTAGCTGAGTTGCCTTGCAGTAATTTTAAATCTGAAAACAAGCAAGCGTCCTGTGGTCATATAGGATACATAATATATTAGATTAGGCCTTTCCTCAGAATCCTGCTCAATAGTAGAATCTTTTCTTGGTTTTACCACTCTTTTAAAATCATGGCTTGTGGGAATTCCGTCTTATGCATTACATAGGAATCGCAAGTCAGGCAAAATGTTAAACTGACTACATATTTTACTGTATTTACTCTAAAATGAAACATTGTCAGTATTCTTGTAGTCTATATTTTATACTACTTTCTATTATTGCTCGGGTTTTGGAAACATGTCTAAAAGGAACGTTTTTTTGTGGATTGGTTGATTGATTTATTTTTTTTATGGATTATCAGCCTTTTTTTTAGGGTTATTTAAAACCAGAAAGTATTTTTTAGACTTTAAGATTTTTAGAGAGATAATAAGTCCTATTATTTAACCCATAGCTGGCGTGCGGGAGGTTGAGAAGTGGACTCCTGTCTTTCCCAAGTGTACTTCCTCATAAGTGAATATATTATGAAACTGACTGGAATTGGAACTCGGCTCTCTGTTTTCCAATTCGGAGCCGTTATTCATTACACCAACCGCACGTCTAAGCTTAGCAGTACTTGGCATTCCCATACGGTCACTCATCTAAGTATTGACCAGGCTCGATTTTGCTTAATTTCAGTGATTGTACGAGAAACGATGTTTCAACGGGGTATGGCCGTAAGCCTTCCTAAACATGGAAAGCGGAATTAGAAAAATCTAATACTTGGACTGAATAAATGTTTTCGGTTCAAGATTTTGTGAATCATGGCATGCATTAAGATGACCTGCCGTATAATGGCTTAGATGAGAATGATGATCCTAATAGAATGGCATATGATAACTCCTTATCTCAAAAATTACAACATAAATTTTTTCTTCTTTAATTTCTGTAAAATATATTTCTTATTCAGGTTGCCAGTTAAATGAAGAGATGTGTTTCATTTCCTGTCCTAGCTAAAGCAGTATAGCTATGAATACTAATAAATTTAAAGTCTAGAAAGTTTGCTTGCTGAAAAAATTTCGGACCTTCATCATTCTGAAGGTCAGATCAGGTCAAGTGTTCCCAAATTTTTTATCTATACTTTATGTTTTCTTTTTCTCACTTCGTTTTTTTTCCCTCCGTCTTCCTTCGCTTTTTATTTTCATGATTTTCATCTTGTATGCTGGACCAAACAAAACAACAAGAATTTCGCTTTTCTTTTCGTTTTTCTTCTTTATTTTTTCTTTTCTCTCCCATTTTTTGTAATGTGAAGAATCATTTTTTTTCTTATTTGTTCTTTCTTCGGTATTACTTTTCTTTCTCTTCTCGTCTGTTTGTTTTTCTTATAAAATTATCTTCTGTTCGTCTCTTTTATCGTCTGTCTTTTATCCATTTCAAATCATATATTTCTTTGCGAGAAAATGAGAAACTACTCGATACAGTTTTCTTTCGTCGCCGCCTCAAATAAATTACTTCTTTCTTTTATATTTTTCCCCCAGCTCTGAAAGTTATGAGACATATAAAAGGCCTGCCCTCTAAGACTCAAAATGTGTATCGCTTCGACCCGACATACTGAACCATGGGCCCGAAATCTTGCCGATGATAATTTGACGCTCTCTTATGTTGAATATTAAAACAAATGAGTTAGTGAATTTGTCAGTTGGTTCTAACTAGGGTTTCAATACGACATCATTAACTTTCGAATTGGTTACCTTCTCTTAAATTATTCATGGGCAAACTACAGCCCGCGGGACTCATGTGGCTCGGTTGGCTATCTGAATGGCGTGACTAATTTCACGAGGGAAATAACGTTTATAAAAGTGTTTTTTTTTTCCTTTTCGTTCTCACTTGTTCACTCACACATTCTCATGCATAAGCACTTAAATAAACAGCGACTAAGTACAAATATATATATATATATATATATATATATATATATATATATATATATATATTTTGCGAGAAAAATGAGACACCACTCGATACATTTTTCTTTCGTCGACGCCTTAAATATATTACTTCTTTCTTTTATATTTTCTCCCAGTCCCAAAAGTTATGAGACATATAAATGGCCTGCCCTCTAAGAACCAAAATGTATATCGCTTCGACCCAACATGCTAAACCGTGGGCACGAAATCTTACCTATGATAAATTGTATAAAGCTTTCTAATGTTGGGTATTAAAACAAATGAACACCAAAGCAACGATTAAGTACAAAGTTTCTTGAATTTTGTCACTTTTCGTTGAAGGTAACGTTGTCAGCATTTTAAACCAGTGGTTATTTTCACTAAGGAAAATCATACGTGTGCATATATTTTGTTTCAGAAATAGGAAAATGTCAATGATAATTATTTTTCTCTAGAGAATAAATATACTCCTTCGCTTACAAATAGCTTTGTATATTCAAATATATAAATAAGAAACAAATCACAGGCAGCAGGTTATTTTAATCACTCTTTCGTAAGTAATAATATTCTACCAAGACTTCAGTTTATTTTAATTATAGAAGGACAATTTATAAAAAAAAACATAGACTTTTCGCCATTTGTAATTCAGATGCTGATGCGCATGTTGTTTTGTTTGGAAAATGGCTGCCATACTGTTAATGAAAGATTAATTTTTTCAGTAGTGAGAACAGCCTTATGATGTTACGCCATGCGGCCTACTGTTCGAAAAAGGTTGCCCCTGAATATGATTTTATTATCAGTGACTTTTCAATATTTCTTTCAATTCATTTCTTGAAGTGATGCCATTTCATTTTTTTTTTTTTTGGACGATTTCATTAAAACTTGTCCATCATTCATGAACCTCAAAACTAACAATTTTTATTTCTCATTTTATGACGGGTCCATGGAATAGAATTTTGGGGGTTATTTTTTTTTTTTTTTTCTTTGCTGCGAATTGGATACTTTCTTCGTTAACATATCGACGTTAATTTATCTAATGTCCCAGATATTATAATAAAAAATCTACACTCCACAACATGATATACATACCATAACAGCAATGTTTAAAAATAGACACTAAAGTCTTACGCCGCTTCGTGGGGGATGCGCACCTGTTTTCGCACATTCACAATGTCACAATCTTCTCGTTTATCTATTGCTATAACCATGGCAAATGTTGAGATGATCTCCATTCTTTAGTTCCACCAATTTAGTCCTCTACAGCTACGGCCAACCATGCTGCGTCCATGGAGTTGAACCATCTTCATTATCTGTGCATTTCATTTGTAAAAAGAACGTTCCACTCAGTGAGGTTCTTCCTAAAAACTGCTACATTGAGAAACAGATGACTGTATGAATGCTCCCTCGGACTCTACGGGTTTAACCCCCTTCAAGTCAAGGGTCAGTAGTTATCTATCCTCCATATCTGCATAATTCTCGCAATCTACTTCCTATTCTTACATTCATTTTACACGCCTCATTCAGTAAGCCTCTACCTTGAATTGTAAAACTTAATTAAATTTTTTTTTGTTTGTTTGTGAAGTCACACATACATACATACACAAGCGACACACACATACACACACAATATATATATATATATATATATATATATATATATATATCACATTTTGACCAACATTATTCTTTGAATAATGAGATGTCAATTTCAGTTACTTATGCGCCATGCTCGACTGACGTTACATTTTTATCGCTCATTTCATGACTGTATCAGATTCTTTCCCCCCGCAGTAGTTTACCATTTCTTTCTATCGTCCGGTCTGTCCTGCTATTAGCTGGGGAAGAAGAAGAGGATTCATACCTTTCACGTTAGTAAATGTAATGGATTCGACTCGAATTCGAACTCGACTCTCCGATTCCTCAATCCAAGCCGCTATCCATTAATCCACCGCCCCCCCTTCCACCGTGTCTGACAGTTTGCCTGGATATAAACAGTACAGTTAATAAGAAGAGGAGTTGAAATTAACGTATGCAAGATTTTATAGCTCTAGCATAAATCGTTCATAATCAACCTTTGAACATTTCAGCCTACTTTCGTATACTTGAAATTTTTACATGGTGATTTCATAAACAGTGGAAGTTGTTTATCAACTTGATCCGCTAATACAGATAGAATAGGATCATTATAATTGTATTGTAACTGCATTCTGTGTTTCTCCTCTAAATATGCATTGCAAATGATATTCTTATAGATGATTTTACTGTAAGATGCAAACATAATAAAAAAAAAGATCAACAGGTGTCAAAGTAAAGTAAGTGTTACTGCCATAATATGGTCATTATTTGTACAATGTCTGCCAGTAACGCCAAATTATTATCACAATAAGAATATTTTGAAAAGAAATATTGAAGAAATTCCATTTGGGTACGAAAATTAAAAACAGAAAATAATAAAATTAATGGGCTGTTTATCCAGAAATGAATTTTTTTTCGATGTGAACATAAGTGTAAGAAACATCTAATTCAAAAGATTAACTGAAAAAATCAGGAGAACCTTGAAAGACATAAATGGCGAAAAGAATTATGGTTGAATACTTGTATTCTCTTATTAGGAAGCTGTCATTTTACAAAAAGGCCGATAATCCAAGTTAATGTACGATCACCCTCTTTTGTAGAGATAATGGATAAATATCAATTAAATTGGCAAATGTTGACAAAGAAAAGAAATTAGTTGGCATTGGGAAAGATAATCTATTTCGTTCACTGTTTTTTTTTTTGGAGGGGAGGGGTTCAGGCGTCTTTCCTTCGCTGGATCAACATTAACGGGAATAAACTTAATGCACGGCCATTTTTATACATTTTAAATGTGGATTGTTTTGAATCAACTTTTCATGAGAGAAAGAGCATTCCGACGTGGTGTAATGGTTAGCAAGCCTGTTTCGCCATATTAGTTTTTTGTGAGTTCGAACCTCGCTAGGCCTTTTTTCCACATTAAATGTATACGATTTTATGCTTCGTTTAAGCGGAGCTTATATAAAACCTTCAAACTAGTGCAGTATGACACTTTATACGTCGAGTAGAAACGAAAGCCGGCGAGAATGAGAGAAAACAAAGAAATATAAATGTTCTTTAAATAAAATTCAGAGTAATTTGCTAAGAAAAATCGCTCAAAAGTGGTTTTCTGTTTTAAGATATCCCGTGGGGGCAGAGGCTGCAGGGTGAAAAGGCATTAATGCTTTTCCCAAAGACATTAGTGTGAAATGAAATCGTTTCAACCGGAAATCGAACTCAGTTCAACGATTTCTTTTTCCGATAATTGTCATGCCATACTGCACCTGCGAAATTAGAGTTGATAGCGCAACAGTTCACAACAGATACCATAACAATTCTTTCTTTATTTTTTCTTTCTTACGTTAATTCTTCCCTTTTTTCTTTTCTATTTCTTTCTCTCTTTTTCGTCCTTTATTTCTTATTTACCTTGTCTTTCTTCCTCCTCTTATCTTTATTTCTATTTTTCTTTGTTCCAGTTCTCCCTCCATTTCCTTCTTTTTATCTTTCAGATTTTGATTTTGCATTTCTCACACTCTTTACTTTTTATTTTCTTTCTTCTTTTTTAAAATTCTTTCTTTCTTTTTCTTTCTTTCATTCATTCATTCTTTCTTTCACTCACCTCCACTTTCTTTCTTTTAAATTTCTTTTTCCTTTTCTTTCTTATTGTTATGCATTTATTTCTGTCTTTCTCATTCACGTAATTTTTTTCCTTTTCCTTTTCTTTTCTATTTCTTTGTCTTTTTC